GCGTGTCCAAGATCCCGAGAGGAGAATGGAGGAGAAGGGATTGCGGCATGACCATCCCACCTGGGGGGTGATTTCTCGCTTTCTGTCTCTCTGTCTCTCTCTGTCTGTCTGGCAAGCGCACACGCCCTATAGCAAAAACTTCTCAAAAAAAAAAAAAAATAGAGAACCAGATCCCCGATGCCCAACTGTTCCTCAACTCCAGTTCCTACGGCTTAAAAACCACGCTGTGGCATGGTGATGGCTGCTGGATCCCACGTAATCAGCCATTCAGTTCAAGTCCTGGACTCGGTGGATTGAGAAACATTCCGGGCACGTGGACATACGTGCCCAAAATCCCAAAAGTGGGAAGAAAGAATGGAAGGACTCTGGGGTGACCATTCCTGATGGTGAGTACGTTCTCATTTTCTTTCTCTTTCTGTCTTTGTCCCACAGCATAAGTGCCCTTAGGACCTTAGGAAGGAAGGAAGGAAGACCATGCAGGGTGTGCGTGCGTGTGTATGCTCAAAATCCCGACAGGATGGAGAAATAGAGGAGGAGATGATTGCTGCCTGACCCAGCCCCACTGAGGGTGCTTTCACCCCTCCTTCTCTGTCTCCCTTTGGCACGCAACCTCTGGCAATTAAGAAAAAAAGATGTTTATGGTTTCTTAGCCCTGGGCTCCTGGGAGTTACAGATGACTCCTAATCCCCCAAAGGGAAATTCTACTGGGGTACAGGAAGGCTGCCACTTGGCAAAGAGGAGTAAGGTAGTGGATCATAAGCTCCACTTCTGAAAAAATCGTAAGGCAACAAAACAATGTTGCTGAATAATGCCTGCTGGTGAGATACTGTTAGTGCCAGAGAGGTCTACTAACAGATACTGAGCAAGAAAGGTGAGGGCGATTTGCAGGAACAACAAAAAAGAACTTGAAAAAGAATTTTAGTTTCAAATAATTTTTATTGTCACGACTATAAAATAAAATTGGGGAAGTTCTGTGTGTATTTCACTTTGTTTGTGTCATAAGGTGTGTGTGCTCCCCAGAGGAAAAAAGCGAGAGATAGAGAGAGGCAGTGAGAGAGAAAGTGAGAAAATGCGAGAGATAGTGAGAGGCAGTGAGAGAGAAAGTGAGAAATCGTGGCCCCCACACCCTACAGGGGCATGGCCATACCACAATCCCTTCTCCTCCATTCTCCTTCTGGGATTTTGGGCATGTGTACACACATGCTGGGAGTGACTTTCAAGTCATTAAGTCTGGGACTCAACCATGGTTGACCATGTGGGAGTCCAGTGTCTCAACCACCATGCCACCTGCTGGCCCCTAAAACAAAACTTTTATAATCTGCAAATTATTTCACATATTTCTCTCCTTGAAGTGGCACAAAATGATTTTATAGTGACGATGATAGTTAAGAGCAATTCCGTGAACTCAGTACCATCCAGCCGCATCAGGAAATGGGCCATCTTGGCTAATCAAATATCCTATGTATCTCCTACAGATATTGCTTTGAAAAATAAACCTGTTTTTATAATCGAATTCGGAAGACTTCCCCTTTCACTAGTCAAAAAAAACTGCACTCTGGGACCTCATAGTACCCTGGTGACATCTTCATGAACACATACTTACATTATAAATGCCAAAACAAAGGTGGTCTTAGCAGAACACTGGGTAAGGACATTTTCTGACCCAAAAAGCAGTTAGATAATGCTCGCATACTTTTTCAGTGGTTTAAATACTTCATCCTGCAGGTAGACCACCACTGCCAGCCAGTGTCAGACCTCTCTTCAGTGCTAATCCCACTCGCGTAAAACTAAAGCGAACTAATGAAGTCATTCTGAGTTAAGTCGACTGTTTAAAGACATGCTTGATGAAAAGCATTCTGTTTACCACAATTATGTGGATGTCGACAGGGAATGCGTAATTAGCACAGTAACAACAAATACGGGAGTGCGGAGTCCTGTACCTCCGCCCCCATGTTTGTTGACTTACTGCGCATAATAACTGGGGTTGCGGCTGCAACGGGATCTGAGCACGCAGCTCTCAGGGTCTGAAACGTTTTCTAAGTGAGCGTTTTCTCCTTCAGCAGCTGCGAGAGGGGGCAGTGGCCGTTTATTCCACTGGTGAAGGCTCGCACATTGGAAAACAGAAATACGATTAGAGAGGGGGCATGAAGGACTCTCCAGTGGACATGCAGTGCCTTGAAAAATGGAATTAGTGACCTCCTAGAAAAAGGGACTCTTTATTCTCCAATTTGGTATAAAATGATTGTTCCCACGATGAGAGAAAGCAGACGGTGACCCTGACACTAACATATTTGGCTAGGAGCTCAAATCTCCATTTAAGTGTCACGAAGTCCACTTTCATGCCTCCGAGTAAAGCAGTATCTATGTAAAGCACTACCCGTCTGTCATATGTCTGTCATTCACCCTAGCGCTGTCCCGACGCTGCATATGGCCCCTTGCTCTTGAAGCTACAATGCCGGGATTGGAGGGCGAGAACAGGAAACAATGACTTGGCGAACAGGAACCACTCTTAGAATACAAACAGCAAAGTGTTACTCAATACATGATTAGCCCATGTGATGGAAGGGGCCAAGTACAATCGGGAAGACTGTCGTAGAAATAAGGCTAATTACAAATGGAGAGAAAACATATGGAAAACCATCAGTCATGAAAACAGAGACGTAGAGCATATTCTCTTAACTACACAATAAACTGAGATCTCTTCTTACCAGTATTCCTTTCAGTTCGTTGACTGCACTTTCAGAGCCTTTGGAAGAGTCTGCCTGCAATTACAAAAACAGAAAACACAAAACAAAACTAAAGAATTCAATTTAAAAATACTAAAAGAGGTTTACAAAGGACTGCTATCATATAGTGGTGATAGGTATTAACTACCTATATTTTGAAATAGGTCTACATCTCAAAGTTAGGAAACAACATTAGCCATGTTAGTGCTCTCAAATGGCAGCTGAGTAGAAAATGAGAAGTTATAGTCAAAGCAAAGAGACAAGCGACCGTTTAAGAATCCTTTTGTTAATTCTTGGTTAGACAGAAAAGGTCTGGTCAATACCAGATTTCCAAGATTGAATTACAAATTATTCAGGACATTTTACAATAAGCTGTTCTCCAACCTCGCATAGCTGGGGTTCCTCCAGCAGGAAGAGGGAAAAGACAGTGCAGAGCAGGAAGCAAGCAACAGGCCAAGGCCAGCTTACAGGGGACGGGCTCGTCCTTTCATGCATTTCACAAGAGGATTGAGTCGGGAGAGCAGAGGCCAGCAAGGACTGGCTTCCAGGAGGAGGCTGGCACCACTGACTGCCAGAACAGTCACCCCAAGGGGAAATGGTCCAATCAGTTCATTTTAGGAGGGAAGTTGCGTTTGAAGAAGGTAACAGTTGAGTCAGGTGTCTTGATCACAAGCCCAGTTCCCTCTGGCAACACCATGAATGAAATCATCTGAAAAAAAATTCTGGGTACTATTTGCCTGTCCCACAACACCTCACAGTTTCTAACTGAGTGAAGAGAAAATTTAGCACGAAGCCCTCCTGAAAGAGCAGCTCAGGATGTCCACTGAACCACTTCCTTCCACAAAGCACGGAGATGAGGAGAAAATCGTCAAGCCATAGTGAAAGGGACCTTCCAGCCTCGTATTCCTGGAGAAGAGGTCAAGCGATATTCTCTCTCATCAAGAAACAGGAAGTGGTCAATAGCAACCTCTCGAAAGATAATAAAAGAATAAAATCGCATTTCAATTTTTTTAAAAATAGAGATAGAGAAGTGGAAGTGAGGGGAAAACGGTTTTGCTTCTCATGTGCCAATCTGACAACGGCATTCGACTCTCATAGCCCAGGTTTTCTGTGAACTATGAATGCCCTCAGTGCTAGTCATAAGCTCCAAGACATTAATTGCAATCATGCCAGCACCACCAACATCATCAAGGAATGTTGAAAATATGCAGATAAGTAAGAATTCTCGGGGCACGTCTCACTTCTGCAGCGAAACTGTTCAGGTGATAAGCTGTGATGTTTGCACAAATGCCCTGCCCGAAGGCATACTCCGAAGGGTCGCCATGTCACCCAAGCTGCCCTCTGACTGCACGAGCCCTCTGAAGCCTGGGCCGCAGACTCTTACCACGGGGACATTTTGCCAAGCACTGACAGCACTAAGGAGAGGAGTCTGTATTTGAACATGCAGTGACCCTTTGTTTGAAAGGTTATTGACCCAGTCATTCAGCACTACAGCTACACAGTTTAATGATTACCAGCAGAAAACCCAGTCGTCCACCGATCCTGGTTCAGCTGTTTTCCAGATTTTGAACTGTCATTAAATAATGTATAACTGTTGGAAGAGCACGAGAAGAAAGAAAAAGCACACGGTGATGTTCTGAAAATGAACGCACGGAACACTGTGCTTAGGATTGAGGACGGTTTCAACATATTTCTCTCCTAACTACCTCTGTTTCTTCACGACATCGATCTTCTCTAGTGATAGTTGGGTTTTGTTTATCACCTCCATAATAATCATGAGATGCACGTCTCTGAAATGTCTTCTTTGCAAGGTGGCAGTCAGATCTGGCATTTTATTCCATATGGTCCTGACAACAACCCTATGAGTCAGAGAGAGCGAGTGCTATTCCCACTTCGAAGAGAAAACAGGTGTGGGGGAATTGGGTAACAGTGTCCAGGCCCCAACTCCAACAACGTGCCTGTGACTCACTGACCAGTCACCAGCACCAAAACAGCTGTGCCGGGCCATTCCACGCACTCGGCTTCTCTCCAGTATGACATTCTGTCGTTTACTTAGAAAACCGTTTCAGGTCACTGGCACGAGACTCAACTGTTTCACACCGTTGGCTGGAGCTTCTGCTTCACTAGGTGTAAACCTGCTCTTTGAGGTGTGCATTCTCTCCCTCTTGCTAACCTTCTCTTCTGAACAACCCACACCTCGCCTGTGACAAAGGGGCAACTTTGAAAACCCAACAGAATTTGTACTGAATGGTCATGACACTGGGGACTTCACACAGTGGAAGAAGGCTGTCCTTGAGTGGAGGGAAAAACAAAACAACACAACACAACACAAAGGTGGATGAAAAAGGAGAAGAGAAAGAAAGAGAACCGGTCTGTTGATGCTTGATTAGAATGAGGACAGAAGGAACTTCTTTCCCCCCAGAAAATTGTCGAACACGATTACTGGGCCTGTGTAAATGTGCCAGGTACAGGAAGGCAGTGGAGAAGTCGTGCTCTAGGCTCTAAGTACCCTGGCAGACTCCAGAAAGCCCCTTTTGGTCTAGTTTAAGAGACGGCTGATGCCATCTGTGTACACAAAATTTTCTCCCTGAAGGGACCTGGAATACATCTATGAAATTAATGAAAAACTATCACATAAACCTCATACTTCTCCAAAGTTGTCTTGGGAACCAGCAGTTAGAGTAATGGTTATGTCGCTGGACTCCCACATAGTCGACCACGGTTCGCGTCCTGGACCTGGTGGCTTAAAACTCACGCCGGGTGTGCGTGCGTGCCCAAGATCCCAAGAGGAGAATGGAGGAGAAGGGATTGCGGCGTGACCATCCCCCCTGGGGGGTGATTTCTCGCTTTCTGTCTCTATGTCTCTCTCTGTCTGGCAAGCGCATGCGCCCTATAGTGAAAAAACCTCTCCAAAAAAAAAAAAAAAAAAAGTTGTCTTGATTCTGTTTCGCTTTTATGACATGATTTTCTCACTGAAACAGGTGCCTCAGGAAGGCAAAGATTTCTGTCTGTTTCATGTACTATTTGTCCCCATGCCTAAAACAGTGTCTGGCACATAGTAGGTACTCAACAGAATTACACAAGAGAATCAGCAATCAAAGAAAAGAAAGGAAGGGCCAGTTGTTATCTGTTTGGGACAACGGTTCATATTGGCATCCCTCTCAGAGATGAGTGTACCCTGCCATCACGTGACTCAGTCTCCACACGGATGCAAGTTCACCAGGGGTCAAACAGAGCCCTTCCGAGATGTGGATATACGAAGTTAGCCTGATTCTAAGATTTGACAGTTAGGCCCGATACAGCTGTCATCACATTTCAAATGGTCACATTTTAAAAAAGGAAATATCATGGGAGGAAAAAGCGTTTCGTCACTCCATACCTTTGCCTTCGGTCTGGCTGTCTGATTAACTGGTCTAAGATGAACTCCCTTTTTAATTCTGTCCATCATCTCTTCCACTGCTTGCCTCTTTAGATCTGTGACTTCTTCAGCTGTTCAAAGAACACACACATAAATCATCTTAGGTTACCAAAAATAACCCCAAACACCCCACTCCTTTCTATTTTTATAACACATACATAAATCATCTTAGGTTACCAAAATAAAAACCCCAAACACCCCACTCCTTTCTATTTTTAGTGACTTAGATATGAATAATCTATGGAATTAATCACAACCCTTTTTAAGACAGGAGCAGAACACCAATAATTGACCAAGGTTAACAGCTTCTGAATAACAACGTTTAACAACAGACTTGAGTTTCTCCAGGTGTTAAAAAAAAAATAGGGGCCAACAAGTGGCATGGTGGTGAAAGCACCAGATCCCATATGGCCAACTCTGTGATTCAAACCCCGGACCTGGTGGCTTGAAAAATACACCTGGCACATGTGCACGTGTGTCCAAAATCCCAATGCAAAAATGGAGAAAAAATGGAGAAGAAGGATCATGGCCCGGCCATCCCCCTGGGGATTGATTTCTCTTTCCTCTTTCTGTCTCTCTCTGCTGAGTATCCACATCCCTATGGCAAATATCTAAAACAAACAAAAAGCAAACAAACAAAAACTTTGCACTTGATTCTAAATAATCATTCATCCTTGGCTCAAAGATATTTGCATAACTTACAGTACATCCTATGTCAAAGAAATCAGCCCAAGGGGAGAATAACTACCAGAAGCCTATATGAGAAAAAAAATATCGAAGAGATGTTTTCCTTGTTGGAAGAAATCTATAGTCAAAAGACAAGCTACAGATAGGTACAAATCTATTTTTAAATTGCTATCTTTTGTTTAAAATCACATGGAAAGGAAACGTTTTTCAAGTCTTTTCAAAACGGTCAATATTAAAAGAAAACATACATCTAGTAATAATTACAATAAGTGATTCAATTTGATATTAAATTTTATCTATTGTCTAACCTTTACACTATTTTACTACAAAAACTAAAATCGAATTTGAGATGTGCACCGGTGCGATGAATGCGGCTGAAGAGAACTTAACCCTGGCGATTACAGCAGTGCAGTGTCTTTCTTGCAGAACAGCTTGACCGAAACCACAGAACCACGTGGAATAAGCATCACCATTAATGCCGCTTCAGATCTTGTGTTTACCGCCGTCTAACTCTATTGCCACCAGTACATTTAAGTTTAAATATCTGGTAAGTACCTTCCAATGAACAGTTTTAATCTACTCCACATTGCCTGGCATATGGTGGGCAGCACTCAAGTATCTCCCGACTGGCTTCTGAAGTTTTGGTTTTTAGTGGCTATTAATATTTGTTACCATTTAGTAGAACGACTAAACCTCAAAAGGCTGGCTTCTAAATGGAGGCTGTCGCAACTCCATCCCTGAGGTAATTAAGCACTGGTATCGGGCTTTATACTAAGGAGGCCTAAATCAAAGCTTCTTTGATTTACTATGGCCAGGCTTTGCTCTAACTCTGGAAAGCCATTTCTCTTACACAAGTCCCTTGGGAGCAACTGGAAAAATCCAGAAATTTCCATTATCCTCACCGCCTCAGCCCCTCAATGATGAGATCATTGCTGTATCTGTCCTATTCCCTAGGTTTTCTGATATAGTCTTCACCTCCTATAGATCTGTCTCATCCTCAGAAGCCACTGAGATGCTAGGAATGACAATTTCTCAACATCCACACACCATTTTTCAGATCTAAAAGTCAAAAAAGTATCTTTTCTCAGGCGACATGGGAAACTCCATCGCCACAGTTAGAACTCATCCACCAGTAATTGAAAGATGATCAAGCTGTGAGTTGATCCATTAGTTGATCCTTAAGGAGTCCTTAAGGAGTGTTTTCTTGGGCACCTTCTCCTTGTGGCTCTCAAACATTAACAAGGACAGTGCAATAAATTAGTGTGGGTAGAAATTCATTCATCCATCCATCCATCCATCCACTCACTCATTCAATATCTGAATATCTTTTATGCACGACAAGTGCTCTTGCTGACCCTATTCGAATTCTGGGAGACTAAATCTCCATCTGTCATTCAAGCACCTGGTTATAGCTATGAAATTTATTTCTGGGAATTGAGAAGATATCTTCAAAAAAAGAAAAAAAAACATTTGATTTTTCAGAAAGGCTGCCATTTTGAGTGAGATTAGGAAGAACTGCATGGCGATAGGAACACCGCCTACAAACAGATTAGTGCTCTGTAAGGAATGACTGAAACCCAATTAAATGCACCATACAAAAACTAATTAAGGCAGACAGATGGAGAATTATGGTCAACACCATTCAAATCTGCAACCGCATCTAACATAGCAGGAATTTAAAGTAGTTTCTTATATTTGCTTGCCAGAAGCATAGTGATAATTCAGAGGCGTGCCACTATCTGAATTGTGTACAGATGATAAACCAGGCTTTAATTTCTCAGCCTCTTTCAAATGTAAAGGCTTAATTGGTCTTAAGGAAAAGAAATCATTCTTATCAGATTCCCTACTCAGGCTTAATACCAGGGCAACCCTAGGTTAGCTACACAAGCTTTCTCTCTTGCTCACCCTGTTTGTGAACTAGCAGAAAGCAATCTATACGAACTTTTAAACTATTAAGCAGTTCTAATAAATCTGCGAGAGTCGCCTGCAGGGCGCTCATGGTATGTTTTGTAATTCTTTCTGCAATCACACAGTTGGTAATTGTCTTACAAAAGCGTGTAATCAGAGGGACAATAGAAATATGCAGGATGCTGGAGATTAAAGAAAGGGGACAAATGAAGACAACAGGTCTAATGTTATTGAACTGCCACAGGAAAATAAAATCAAATGTTCTTTGAGTTAGTGCTTCAAGGTCAGTCTTGGATCAGAAAGCTACATGTAATTAATTGGGGCTTAAATTTTAAGACCCACTTGAAAAATAAGTTAGTTCTTCCAAAAGGGGGAAAAAAAAACACCCTACAGACAAAAATATCACCTTGTTACTCAATAAAACCTTCTGGTACTAACTAGAAGAAATGAAAACTAATTTCTAAATTTAACAGGATGACTTTTTCACCATATATGTTTGAAAAAGCAATTAAAAAAAAACTCATGTCGCCATGATGTACAAAATTTCTAAAGAACACATTATGGTTGAATAAATTTAAATTTGATGTAAGGTCATAAAGTGAAGGAAATTTCTGTAACTATAATAACTGCAAGAACTTGCCAAATGAGGACTCTCCTTCCAGTAGCTGAAACTCCCAAAGGCACACAGCTGGCATCTGGCCAGCTACACCACAGCTGACAGCAGCAGAGAGCATGGTGGGTGTACGTAGAGAGAGAACTGTAACAACCCATTTTCTTGAATGGGCAACCTTTTTCTTTTTTTTCGGAGAGGTTTTTGCTATAGAGCTCGTGCACTCACCAGAAAGACAGAGAGACAGAGAGACAGAAAGCGAGGAATCACCCCCCAGGGGGGATGGCCATGCCGCAATCCCTTCTCCTCCATTCTCCTCTCGGGACCTTGGGAACGCACGCACACATGCCCGGTGGGAGTTTAAGCCAGGACTTGAACCATGGTCAACTACATGGGAGTCTAGCAACATAGCCATTATGCCAACTGCTGGTCCTAAGAAGTAACCTTTTCTCATAAGAGCTACAACTTGATCACTCAAGAGATAGTGTTCTTCCACTTACGAGGCTGGTGCCTCCATGATCCAATCACCACAATCCAATGACCTCCCACTAGGCCTCACCACCTCCCAACCCCATCACGCTGGAGACAAAATTCCAATTGTGAACTTTGGGGGACAAACCACTATCCACACCAGTAACCCAAGAGCAGGGCCCTCTTGCAAATCACCAAAGGCAGGCCTGCCACGCCGTGTACAAAGCACAGTCTGCCTCTCAGCCCTACCAATGTGTGGAGAAAGAGGCTTCTGCAGGAGGCAGAACCGAGTGCTGAATGAAGCGAGGAAGTCAGCTTTCATCTGTAACGATGCTGCAAGGTCCCTGCTCAGAAGAAAAAGACTAAGTCCAAATACTAATTCATCTGACAAGCATGAAAGCTATGGGAGGCTGCAGAGAACAGTAAACCCTCAAAGAGCTTGCAATCCACTCAGAAGAAGAGAATGTGAAGATAACCACCAGGCCAGGAGCAGAAGCTGGGGGTGGGACATTAAATCCTTAAACGAACAGAATTTAAAGCAAAATGCCGTAGCACCACATCTGTAAGATTAATATGAATGTTGAACTATATTACTAATGAACAGGAAGCGGAAGAGCCTGGAACGCACAAGCAATCCGCCTGCAACATGCACGGAGGACATGTGAGGGGAACCTCACCTGACCAGAGGGGTGGGGAGACCATTCGGAAATGAGAAGACAGGAGTAAATGCGTAACAGCCTTAGAGGTAATGGTCTGGCCATAAAGAGGGACAGATAGTATAGAGCTCGTGCACTCACCAGAAAGACAGAGAGACAGAGAGACAGAAAGCGAGGAATCACCCCCCAGGGGGGATGGCCATGCCGCAATCCCTTCTCCTCCATTCTCCTCTCAGGACCTTGGGAACGCACGCACACATGCCCGGTGGGAGTTTAAGCCAGGACTTGAACCATGGTCAACTACATGGGAGTCTAGCAACATAGCCATTATGCCAACTGCTGGTCCTAAGAAGTAACCTTTTCTCATAAGAGCTACAACTTGATCACTCAAGAGATAGTGTTCTTCCACTTATGAGGCTGGTGCCTCCATGATCCAATCACCACAATCCAATGACCTCCCACTAGGCCTCACCACCTCCCAACCCCATCACGCTGGAGACAAAATTCCAATTGTGAACTTTGGGGGACAAACCACTATCCACACCAGTAACCCAAGAGCAGGGCCCTCTTGCAAATCACCAAAGGCAGGCCTGCCACGCCGTGTACAAAGCACAGTCTGCCTCTCAGCCCTACCAATGTGTGGAGAAAGAGGCTTCTGCAGGAGGCAGAACCGAGTGCTGAATGAAGCGAGGAAGTCAGCTTTCATCTGTAACGATGCTGCAAGGTCCCTGCTCAGAAGAAAAAGACTAAGTCCAAATACTAATTCATCTGACAAGCATGAAAGCTATGGGAGGCTGCAGAGAACAGTAAACCCTCAAAGAGCTTGCAATCCACTCAGAAGAAGAGAATGTGAAGATAACCACCAGGCCAGGAGCAGAAGCTGGGGGTGGGACATTAAATCCTTAAACGAACAGAATTTAAAGCAAAATGCCGTAGCACCACATCTGTAAGATTAATATGAATGTTGAACTATATTACTAATGAACAGGAAGCGGAAGAGCCTGGAACGCACAAGCAATCCGCCTGCAACATGCACGGAGGACATGTGAGGGGAACCTCACCTGACCAGAGGGGTGGGGAGACCATTCGGAAATGAGAAGACAGGAGTAAATGCGTAACAGCCTTAGAGGTAATGGTCTGGCCATAAAGAGGGACAGATAGCATGAGAAACAAGGCTGAAGGAAACGCAGAGAACTGCCTGTAAACAGATCAGAGTGCACATTCTACTGGGAGGCCGTGAGAAGCACAGAAATGCCACAGGATATAGGATGCCACGAGCAGGCCTAGGATCTGAGAATGCTTGTCAAGGGTATGAAACTGGCTGGACTGGGGCAGGGAAAGGGCCAAGAAGAATCTCGGCTTGAACCAGGCCAACTAAGAGGTGCGAGTGAATCTTGTTGAGTTTAACTTGGGTTCTGCGGTTTGCAGGCACGAAGCCTGTGCTCTCTCTGTGGCTACACGCCAGCTGCGCATGGCCCTGAGGACACCTCTGCACCTTGCCACCCAGTGCCTCTGCCCAATGGAAGGCCCCTCTCCCTCCATTCCCATTTCCTCATATTATCCTGCACACCTCTGCCTCCAATCAGAGTCCTGTGAACCCCACCTCCCCGAATAATTCCTGAGTTCACCCATCCCTTTCCATCCCTGCTGCTGCCATCCCTGAGTGACTGAAACAGCCTCCCTCATCCACTGGATCCACCCTCATCCCTCTACAGTCCGCTCTGTCCTCTCAGCCAATGTGATTTTTAAAAAAGGACTAATCGCATCATGTTACACCCTTACTCGAAACTTCTCCTTCTCTTAGAAGAACGTCCCAGATACAGCTGAGAGCCTCCAGAATCGGGCTCCTTCCCACCTCTCAGATCTGCTTTCCCACGCCCCATGTTCGGGATGTATCTCCTTTCAGATTCCCATTTCCCAAACTCCGCCCCTACTCTGGACCTTTGACCCTGTTGCCCCTGTCTCTGAACCACCCTAAACACCCTCCACCCCAGTGTTCCAGGTACACAGCCAACCACTCAGTGTGAACAGCACTTTCCAACACCGCAGTCTACCTCCATCCTCTGAGAACCATGTACTCCTCCTCCAGATTTCCAGTTTATTGGGCTAGTTTTGTAGGCTTGGAGTCTAGTTATGCGAGAACGTAACTTCCATATCTCGGATTTCCAGCGCACCTGTAGGCTTGGTGTCTAGTTATGCGAGGACGTAACTTCCATATCTCGGATTTCCAGCGCACAGTGCCGCAGACGCACGGCACAGGCACTTGGTAACATGTCGGCGCACTCACTCACCACCCTGTCTTTCCCCAGATCCCTCATTTGGAATTACTCCCATCCCTCCCTCCGGAAGCACCTTGTCTCTTGATGACAACATACTTCCTGGTATCACCATGTGTGGACGTGTTTCTCTCCTTTAGACAATAAACTGCAGGACGCGTTCTTACAGCCATTACGGTCTTCACACCTGTCTGCCCACAGGCTGCTAGCAGTCAAAGCCCTCAGCACACACGTGAGCTACAGAAACACCGAACATCATCCGCGCCTGAAAGTAAATCGAACGGACGTGATGCTTACTTGTTTCTGGCTGGGTCGCCTTTTCCTTCTTAGCACCGCTGCCACTGGGGTGGGATCGCTTCCGGATCATGGACATCAGGGATCTGTGGGAGAAAGAAAAAGACCAAGAGGAGGTGACGGGATGCCTCATGCGCCAACAGATACAACATCTAAAGTCTCAATAATCAGTGAAGACTCCCTGTTCTATGGGTGCGTGAATGAAGAACCAGAATTTAAAAAGCCCACTTTTCATTTTTCATATGATACTTTACAGCTCTTTAGAGAAAGAAATTGGTCTCATCCCTGTCTGTGGAAAACCAAACTAAGAGCCTGAGGGAGAAGACTACTGTCACTGTTAATGTGATACATAGGTATCTACAGAGGAAAAAAGATAAAAACATTCAGTATTGATTTCTAAAATTCAGACACAGCTATCTGTGTAATACTAATACATTGGAAGGGGAGGAAAGAATAAATTAGGGAGAGCTTCATGCACTAGGTCGTCAGGGAAGCGATCACATATTTTTCTATGTTTTCCTATGCAAAAACACGTCATGACTTTCCAGACGACCCAATAAAGAAGTATTATATGTTATCAATAAGTGTCTACTTGCGAAATATAGGCATAAAAACACCTGAGTCAGCATGATGTACACCAAATATTTAGGGATCAAATATTTTTAGGCCACTATGTCCCTGATCCGTATTTTTTTTTTTGAGAGATTTTCATTGTAGGGCGCGTGCGCGCGCCAGACAGACAGAGAGAGAGAGACATAGAGACAGAAAGCGAGAAATCACCCCCCAGGGGGGGTGGGCACGCCGCAACCCTCCTCCTCCATTCTCCTCTAGGAATCTTGGGCTCGCACGCACACGTGCCCGGCGTGAGTTTTAAGCCACCGGGTCCGGGACACGAACCGCGGTCGACTATGTGGGAGTCCAGCGACATAGCCATTATGCTAACTGCTGGTTCCCCCTGATCCGTATTTTAAAAAAACCTATTAAAAAAAATCCCAGTTATGGCCAATTTTATCACATTAAAAGTTAGGACCTCAATATAGTAGAAGACATTATAAAGAATAAAAGACAAGTTAGAGGACATATAAGGAAATTCCAAAATTCAATGATGAAAAACAAACCACCCAATACCAAAGGGACAAAAACCTTGAAACTCCATAGAAGAGGTGGTCTAAATTTCTAGTACAGAAACCAAAACGGTGCTTGAGTCCAAAGTAATTAGGACAACACGAATTAAACCTACACCGGGGGGGGGGGCCCAGCCTGTGGTCTAGTGGTTAACAGAGCTGGATCACACATGGCCGACCACGTAGGGCCTATCTAGCCCCACAGGCTTGAAAAACACACAGGCAAGTGTGTGTGTGTATGTGTGCCCGCCCTAAATCCCAAAAATCCCATCAGGATGAAGAAATAGAGGAGAAGGGACTGTGGCATGACCATAATCCACCGGAGGGTACTTTCTCCCTCTGATTCGCCATCTCTAGTGAGTGCACACATACTCTAGCAAAAAATAAATAAAAGATTAAAAAAAAAAACAAAACACTCATCAAAACAGGCAAAAAATTTGTCTGCTATTAAGTGTTGCTTGCTGGATTTGTGGAGTCAAAGGAATTCTCCAACAGGAATAAAAATTGATAGTATCGTGGGCCACTTGGTTGTCCAGTGGTTCAAAGGGTTGGATCCCCGATGGCCAACTATGTGGTTCTGTCTCAGACCTAATGGCTTGAAAAACATGCCAGGTACACGTGCATGCATGGCCAAAATCCTAAAGGGAAGGTGAAAGAGAAGAGAAGGGATTTCAGTGTGCCCATCCCCTCTGGAGTGCTTTCTTACTCTCCTTTAGTCTCTCTGTTTGTTTCTTTCTCTGTCTCTCTCCAGTGAGCACACATACCCTTCAACAACATTTTGTAAAAAAAATTAATAGTTATCTCTTTGCAAAATTGTCTGGCACCATCTTTTTTTTTTTCGGAGAGATTTTTTGCTATAGGCCACATGCGCTCACCAGAAGACAGAGACAGAGAGACAGAAAGCGAGAAATCACCCCCAGGGGCAATGGCCACGCTGCAATCCCTTCTCCTCCATTCTCCTCTCGGGATTTTGGGCATGCACACACACGCACCCAGTGTGAGTCTAAGCCATCAGGTCCGGGACTCAAACCGTGGTCGAATATATGGGAGTCCAGCGACATAGCCATTACGCTAACTGCTGGTCCCTTGTTTGGCACTATCTAATAGAGCTGAAGGTACACAAATCCCATGAGCCGGTGATTCCACTGCTGTCGTCTCACAGAAACACAAGCACTTGTGCACTAAGACGCGTGTACAAAAACGTGAACTTTCCTAAACTCTCTGAACTGATAAGAAGTCAAATGTCCATCTGGCCCAAATGAATAAGTACACTTTGGGATATTTTAAAGTGGATTATACATCAATGACTATCCATGAGCCTCAGTTACACAAAATAGAGTGGATGAATCTTACAAAATAAGGTAGAGTGAAAAGATCACAAAGAATAATGGAAAATTTCAATAACATAGAATTCAGAAACAGACTTCATAGACATTTGTAGTAATGTAGAGACACATATGTAGGTAGGAAGGTTTTTCTTAAAAAAAAAAAAAGTCAAGAATGGGGGTGGCAGGTGGCATGGTAGTTAAAGTGACACCCACCCACATGGTCGAGGGTGGTTCAAATCCTGGACCTGGTGGCTTGCTTTTTTACTTTCTCTCTCTTTTTGGTCAAATTAAAAATAATAAAAATAAGAAATAAAATAATTATTTAAAAAAGGCAAAAAAAATTATTAGTATACAACTCAGGATATTGATCAGGGAAGGAGGGGTTAATGTTTACAAAAGGATAAAAGGGAAGTATTTTAAGGTGCCAGTTCAGTTTCTCAGTTTGGACAGTGAATATGTGGATGTTCATTTTATACTATTTAGCTATACGTAAGTTTGTGCACATGCCTGAATCTAGAGGAGGTTTTCAAAAAGTTCATTAGAAATGCGTATTAGGAAAAAACTAGACATAGGATTTCAAAATTTTTGCACCAAAATAAAATCATACTTGTTTTTTCCATGAACTTTTGGAAATACTCTTACATGTTATCATTTCCCCTATAAAATGTTTACACACACACACACACACACAAAGGAATCAAGAAGTTTTGGACTCTTTCAACTACATTACAAATGTGCTAAATGTGGAGACTACATTTGTTAAAATGTAGTCCTGAGGAAGGCACACTGAAAAACTAGCAACGAAAAGAAAAACTTGGAGAGTAGGAAGAGCAGAAATGTTGCCCTTAGAAAAGAAACAAATGGGGAACCAGCAGATGGCGTAATGGTTACATCGCTGGATTCCCATGTAGTCGACCGCGGTTCGAGTCTCAGAACCAGCGGCTTAAACTCACGCTTGGGTGCATGTGCATGCGTGCCCAAGATCCCAAGATGAGAATGGAGGAGAAGGGATTGCGGCGTGGCCATCCCCCCTGGGGACGGAGGATTTCTCCCTTCTTGTCTTTCAAGCCCTATAGCAAAAATCTCTCTTAAAAAAACTGGAGAAATGGACATACAGAGCACTACTTGCTCAGGGGACATAATAACCCAATATTTCTTATCCGTATAATTTTTAAATGTCTGTATTTTTCATTTCTACCTTTGGTTATACTATTGATTCTCTTTTTACAAGGAATTCTTTTATTTAACTTTATTTATTTATTTGTTTTTTAATTTGACCAGAGAGGGACAGAGTAAGAAAGAGAGAGAGAGAGAAAGTGAGAAAGCATGCTGCCAGGTCCGGGACACGAACCATGGTTGGCCATGTGGGAGTCCAGCACCTTTAACCACCACACCAGCTGCGGGCTCCTTATTAATCCTCTTTCTAATTGCCTTTTTTCTTTTCTCTGGAGAGATTTTTGCTATAGGGCATGTGTTCCTGCCATAGAGACACAGAGAGAGAGTCAGGGAGACAGAAAGCAATAAATCACCTGAGGGGTGGAGGGGGGATGGCCACACCACAATCCCTTCTCCAGTCTTCAAGCCCACTATGAGTAATTTTGTATGCCAACTTTACTGGACCATGGGGAGCCCAGACACGTGGTCAAACATTAATCCTAGGTGTTTCTTTTCTTTCTAAGAATTATTTAATTTTATTTATTTGTTCACTTTTTTTTAAAATTTGACCAGAGAGAGACAGATGGGGGCGGGGGTGGGAGGGGATGGTGGTGGAGTGAGAAAGCAAGCCACCAGGTCCGGGACTTGAACTCAAACTGTGGTTGGCCATGTGGGAGTGTCCAGCACCCCTAACCACCACACCACCTGCTGGTCCCAATTCTGGGTGTTTCCAAAGGGTGTTTTGGATGAGATTAACATTTAAACCAGGAGACTAAGTAAAGCAGATTGCATTCTCTAATGGGGGGGTGGTCCCCATTCAATCAGCTGAAGACCCAAAGAGAACAAAAAGGTGGTGACCTACCCCTCCAAATGAAAGAATTCCTCCTGCCTGACTGCCTTCAAATCGGAACGCTGGCTTTTACCTACTTTCAAACTGTAACTGAACATCACTAACCCTGGATCTCAAGCCAGACAGCCTTTGGAGTAGAACTGCACCACGGGCTCTCCAAGTTCTCAGCCTCAAGCTCAGCCTGGAACTATATACCATCAGTGGTCCTGGGTTTCTAGTTTACCAACTTACTCTGCAGGTCTTAGGCCTCATCAGCCTCCACAATCACATGCAACAATTCTTTACAATACATTTATATTAACGTCTGTCTCTGTCTCTACACATACACATCTTGTTGGTTTCGTTTCTCCGAAAATCCCTAACTCATCACCCATCCCTCTCCCCAGGAACCTTATCTTCCCAGGACCTGTCCTATTTTTACTACCAGAAGTATAAAATGACCAAATGATGGCTTTTTTTCCTTTTTTTCTCTCTCCTACTTGTCTTCTAGGGCAAGGCGTGGGAAGAAAACGGAAAAGCACTAAAGCCACTTAAAGAAGCCATAGACCCTAGTTTCTTTCCCTGCTTCAATTTCATTTTTTTTTTAAGAGATTTTTTTACTATAGGGCACGTGTGCTCTCAAGAGAGACAGAGAGAAAGAAAGCGAGGAAATCACCCCCCAAGGAGGATGGTCACACCACAGTCCTTTGTCCACCATTCACCTCTTGGGATTTTGGGCACTCACACACACATGCGCATTGCACCCAGCATTAATTTCATTTTTATCCATGATCTACTGAGCCATCATTATACATTTATGCATAATGGAAACACAGAAAGATACATCATGAGTTTTCCAACAACCCGATATATAAAGGTTAAAAAAAAAGAGCTCAGGATCAAAGTTGGAAATCTTGATTTGTGGCTTTAAACGTCTACTGAAATTCAATATATATGCAAACATATTTCTTTGACAAGATGGTACCCCTCATCAAAAAAAAAATCCCTTTTTTTAAAAAAAGTATATCATATTATTTCAATTCACCTTAAAATAAAAATCATTCGTATTATTCACAAAAAATGTTCTTAAAAGAGCCTTTCAAAAGCTCATGCTTAGACACACATAGTCCTGAATCCTTTACATTCCTTTCACAGTAGAACTGTAAAGTACTCTTTGGGAAGAAATTCTATTTAAGTTATACTTTAATTTTAGGAGTTCTCAACATTTCTGAGACTAAAAATTAAAGGCCAACACCAAGACTGTAATTGCTTTTTAATAGTTCTCCTTCCTTATAGACAGAAGTGACCTTTCTAATCAGCTAAAAATTCTAGACCTTAGAGAAAGATCAAAGTGATGAATTTCCAATATTAAATGTCAAATTCAGAATATCTCCTACAGATGTAGCTACCCAGGAGAAAAAGAATTTAAAATACCTGAAATTCTTTCAATTGACTCTTGGATCAATCGCGTGTAAAAATTAGTTTGTCTTAACTACTTCAGTGGCTTAAAGTAGATTATGTCATGCCCTACCCAGTAAGGAAAACTAATGAGAATCTTTTTAAAAGGCAAAGTCCCATTTTCATAGTCGTGTGGGAGGGACACACTACACATTCTATTCAGACGGATCAGCAAAGGTGCCAAGTATGAATAAATGGCCTCTCTGTGTGAAAGGATTAAACAAATCACATGAGTTAATGAAAGGTAAAAAAAAAATAATAATAATCTAGCAAAAGTTTAAATGCCATTTGTTCAAGAATAAATTATGCAAAAGCAGCTAACATCATGACATGAGGAAGTAAACTGTCACCACCACAAGGTGGTTGTCTTACGTATTCTGGACGGTGAATGCAGAACCACAAAGAAGGCTGAGATCTCTAATTGCATATGTGGATTATGCTCAACTCAGACGCTAGTACCATCAAGGCACTTCAGGCTTCAGAAAAAGTGAACTTCTATCTGCCCACGTGATTTCCTATCATGAGAATTCAACCGTAATTTATTTTCCTATAGAAGGTTCCTCTCTCTGCGTTATTAAAGGTTTAAGTATGAGGTCAGGAATAAAAACAATTAGTGTTTTTCATTTAATTACTAATTTATGACAATGAATATGCTTAAGTTTTTTTTTTTTTCTAAGTATACGAAGGCATGTGTGCTTGCCAGAGAGACGGGGGGGGGAGAAAGCACCACCCAATGGGAGTGGGTGCCCCACAATCCCTTGTTCTTCCTCTAACCTATTGGGATTTGGGGAGTGCATACACACACACCTGGCACGTTTTTCCATACTAGAGGCTGTGGCTGCTTTAAGTGGATTAATTGCTTTTCCCTTTGCTTCTCACTCCTTGGCCTAAGAAGACAACTTGGAGAGAAAGAGAAGCCGTCCTTTGGTCATTCCGTACTAGTAGCAGAATTTGAACCGCAGTTGGCCATATGGAATCCAGGCTCCTTGACCATAGGCTATGGGTGGCCCTGAAGTTTTTGTTTAGTATTTTTAATGTCAAAATAACCAACCAAACCAGAGATTTTCAAATTCAAATTAGTGAGAGAAAAGTATGAAAACATTTCAGAGAAGCTCAAAATTCTTTGATCTATCAGTTAAAGGAAACTGATATTTTGAAATGAGATTTTAAAACTGAAATATCGAAGACGAAAAACCAATCTTCAGTCCCTGGGGTTTGAAACTTACATACTGAATCTCCATGTCTACAACAGGACATTTTTAGGTCACAATAATTTTTTTGCCAAGTGTTTTGTCATTTTGAATATTGGATTGTTGGAAAAGTCATGACATATTTTTTCAGTTTTTCCATGCAGAATACATCATGACTTTTCTGAAAACCCAACAGATTTGTTGTTGTTGTTTCGTTTTTTTGTTTGTTTGTTTTGTTTTTGCTAGAAAGGATGTGTGCTTGCCAGACAATGAGGAAGAGAAAATACTCTCAACGGTGTGTGTCACATTGCAATCATTTTTCCTCTCTCTCTCCATCCCATGAGGGTTTGGGCACGCATGTACACATGCCTGGCATGTTTTCCATGCCACTATGCTATGGAGCCAAGCCTTCCCCAGCTTTTTTTTTTTTTGAGAGTTTTTTTTTACAATAGGGCGCATGTGCTAACCAGAAAGACAGAGAGAAACAGAGAGACAGAAAATAAGAAACGACCCCCCAGGGGGGGTGGCCATGCAGCAATCCCTTCTCCTCCATTCTCCTCTCGGGATTTTGGGCATGCACACACACGTGCCCAGCATGAGTTTCAGCCACCGGGTCCAGGACTTGAACTGCGGTCGACTACCTGGGAGTCCAGTGACATAGCCACTATGCCAACTGCTGGTCCCATCCCCAGATGTTTTTTAAGAGCCATACTATAAATGTATTAAAAGAAGGGAATGATAAATTGGCCTTTAGAAAGCATTTGAGAGAAAATCAGCTGAGGGCAGTCATTTTTTTACCACTCCTCTAATGATGCACTCTAAGCTGGGTTTTCTGTTTTGTTTCGTTTCATTTTTAAGACAAGGATACCGCTAACATAACCTTCGGGTTCTCTGATGAGAAGCAAGGTGTGAGGCAGAGCCGTCTTTCCACATGTGCTTACCGGATAGGATTGGGAGGTGGCGGGGGCAGCGGCGGTGGAGGCGGCGGCGGTGGAGGGACGGAATTCTCAGACTGGTTCACTCGTTTCTGGAGTTCATCAACTGCACAGAGAGCAAGCGTACAGGAGAAACCAGAGATAAGCAACTACACACTGTTTATACAGCAAGAGAACCTGACCTCTCCAAAGCAAGTTCTTCATTGAAGCAAAGTGGAAAATTTCAAATGCAACCACAGAACTTTTTACTATCTAGTCTACCACTAACATGCAAGAGATTTCCATCTGCTAAAAGCATTACATACAACTTGAGACAAGAAAAAAATCCAAGACAATGACTGATGGGTGGGAAGGAAGGATTGAGTAGGTTGAAGAAATATTTGCTAACAATGGAGTATACTCCTCAAAACACTAAGAAATTGTTAATACTTGACTTTAAAAGTGTATAGACGAAGAATTAGCTTTAAAGATGACATTTAGCAATGAATTTTAATAGTTGCATACTTCTCTCCTCCGCTTCATTTCCTTCAAAAACTGCAAATACTAGAGTCCTTGATTTTAACCAGAATCAGATTCCTAAATGTCTGTAACTCAGAAGCTTTGTGCTCTTTTGAAGAGCATTCTAGAAATACAATTTATTCATTCAATTCATTTGAGGAAAAAACACCCATAATGTAACAGAGCATATGTGTGGTGCTCTTGGAGACGCTGTGCCTGACTTCAAGGAGCTGCACGTAAACTTGCATCTGAGATGATAATACCTATGATAGGCACTAATGGGCAGCAGGTCCTGAACACCGTTTGCATTCAGTCACCACCTCCCTCCACAGGCTTCCCACTCCTTACTGACTGCATCCGCAGTGATCTGTCTGTCCACTTGTTCTCACCCAACTCTTAAACAGGCAGTATGGGCCATGTTCTCCAGCACCAAGAATCCTCTAGTTTATTTTATGTATCTATTTCTCCAAGTGGAATCTGAGTTCTTTGACAACAAAAGGCATGGTTGCTTTTCCTCTCTATTCCTTATTATACCCAAGGATAGAGACAGGGTTCAAAATTCAACCACAGGCCCAGCCACTATAGCGTGCATTGGTTAACACTGCCACTCAGTAGGCTGAGGCCACATGGACGGCCTGAGTAGATTTCCAGCCCAGCCTAAAAGTCGGCACCTGTAGTTTTGGCTACTTGGGAGGTCAAGGCAGGAGGGTCACGCCATGGTGAGGCCTTGTCTTAAAAAAAAACAATCAAATATCTCTAATGTCTGCCTCTCCCATTTATAACAAAGATGGCTTTGGCTACAGGCTACTCCTATATTCACTGAGAAGAATGAAACATTTCTTAATTTCAGGTCAACTTTTTAAAAATAAACTTTAGGGGCTGGCAGGTGGCATGGTGATTAAGGCGGCTGGACTCCCACGTGACTGACCATGGTTCGAGTCCCGGACCTGGCAGCTTGCTCTCTTGCTTTCCCGCTCTCTCTGTCTCTCTCTGGTCAACTTTAAAAAAATAAGATAAAATAATGACAATGAATACAATTAAGTAAAATAATTCTTTAAAAAATAAACTTTAAAATAAATTTCCATTGTGCCTCTGAAAGCACTGCACATTTTTAAAAGGAAACCTACATGGTTTCTGCACAGATTTCAAAATTCTAGTATAAAATTAACAACAATGTCTGAAGTGAACACTGAAACTGTTATAAAGAAAATGTCCTGCTTCCTTAAATTATCTACCCTCCAACTGAGACTTAATACTTATGCACGTATAATCATCTAACTCACATACTCCTGTTAAGCCTTCTAGAACTGAATAAATCCTTTGATTTAAATATCTCCTGGTGTTTTAAAAGTTTTTCCACTTAATATATATATATATATATATATAGTTGCCCATTTCATTATTAGGTACAATATAGAAAGTATTACTTCATATGCATTATTAGGCACCCAAGATAAAGGTGGTATGAACCCCAAAGATAAAGGTAGTGTTTAAAAAGTTCAGTTCTTGGGGCCAGCAGGCGGCATGGAGGTTAAGGCGCTGTCTTCCCACATGGCCTACTGTGGTTTGAGTCCTAGATCTGGTGGCTTATAAAAATCACACTGGGTGCATGCACATGTGTGTCCAAAATCCCAAGAGGAGACTAGAGAAGAAGGGAGTGTGGTGTGGCCATTCCCCGGAGGAGGATGACGGTGATTACACATGCTCCTTCTCTCTGTCCCTGTCTCTCTCCGACAAACGCGTATATTCTAGGGCAGAAACCTATATTTTTTAAAAGTTCAGTTCTTTTTAAAAATACACCCTGAAATGAACAAAATAAAGTACTTCATGAACACTCATTTCTGAAGCCTTAAGGAATACTGAAATTCTTGGTCTTCCCATACTAATAGTATCTGTGTCTTAACTGGGTTTGTGATTGTTCATAAAAGCTCCTAGTCCAAAATAGAAGTCTAAAACTATTTGTGGAGCATCTGATTACTAAATAGCAAAAGTTCAAAAGGAAGAAATCTGCAAACAAACCTCGCTACCGCATTCAGTAAATGTTCTGACTAACAACTAGGATTCACTGCTAGGTTTTGTCCTGGGCAGGATTAACAGGAAGACAAGTAGCCTACTCAAGGCTTTTACCAGAATGCTTTAAATTTCTGGCCTTTTCCTCAGAATTCTGATACTTCGATTCCAATTCCTTTTTATCTTCTTCTAGAAGCTCCAGTTGCTGTTTGAGGTTGTGTATCTCCTTGTGGAGTGTTTCATTTTCTAGTTTCTCTTCTAATTCTTTGACCTGTAAGTTATAAACAAACTTTTATGGGGTGATAGTTGCTCCACTGTCAGAGGAGAGAAAGAGACAAAATAAATATTTTCCTTGGATCTTCCACTTCATAACAAAAAGATTTCAATCTATCTTAAAAGTCGTGCAAATTCTGGATAGGCGTAATACTTAAAATCATAATTAGCTCTTTTATATAATAGAAATTCACTGGGTTATTGTGTATCAGACACTGTAATTTTTACATGTGAGTCTCAGTAAAATTATACCTAAAAATTCATTTAAAATGGATTAATGATCATATGGCCATTTTCAAGAGAAAAATTCAGGTAGTATTTTAAAAGATCCCTATGGAGTACAATTTGGTATCAAAACATTCAAGAAAAGGAGAAAGACTTTTTAAAGAATTTGTTTTTAAAACTATTAAGACAAACGTGCAAATATATTCACTAAAGTGTTTTTACACCAATTATTGACTTAATAAATAATAGTGTGTTCACTAAATTGAATACTATGCAACCATTTCAAATCACACAGCTTACTATATACTCACATAAGAAGACACACTATCAGTTCAAAAACTGTTTATAAAAGGGCATATAGTCTATGATTACATTTAAACAAATAGATACTTATAAAATCATCTATTTACATAAATTTTATATGTGCACCAAAATTTTCTTCAACATTTTCTATATTTTTAAGCTTTGTTTATTATAAGGAATATACATTATTTTTATCATTATTTAAACAACTCAGCTGTATTTCAAAGATTACTGAATTTGCAAGGGAACTTACAGACAAGTTAAAAAAATATTTTGGAGTAGATGGCATCTCACTTCCTGACCCCAAAATATATTACAAAGCTGTAATATTCAAAACAGCATAGTACTGGCACAAAAATAGAAATGTGGACCAATGGAACAGAATAAGAGATCCCAGAAGTAAATCCCAAAACATACAGTCAACTGATTTTTGACAAAGGGTACCAGTCAATGCAGTGTGAAAAGGAAAGCCTCTTTAGAAAATGGTGCTGGAAAAACTGGGTATCCACCTGCAGAAAGGTGGATCTAAACCCCTATCTCTCACCATTAACAAAAATCAACTCAAAGTAGATGGAAGATCTAAACCTAAGACCTAAAACTACAAAACTACTGGTGAAAAACACTGGGGAAACCTTGGGAGACATTGGGTAGGCAAAGACTTCTTAAATAAGACTCTCAAAGCACAGACAATAATCCCAAAAATAAACAAGTGGGATTATATCATATTAAGAAATTTCTACACAGCAAAAGACACAGTAATTAATGTGAATTGACAACCCTCAGAATGGGAGAATATTTTTGTAAACTATACCCCAGGTAAGAGACTGATAACAAGAATACACAGAGAACTCAAGTGGCTTACCTTAAAAAAAAAAAAAAAAAAAGATTAAGTGCTGGCAGGAATGTGGTGAAAAGGGAACTCTCCTACACTGCTGGTGGGAATGTAAACTGGCCAGTCACTGTGGAGAACACTATGGAGGTTCCTATAAGACCTACAAATAGAACTACCTTATGATCCAGTAATTCCACTCCTGGGTATCTACCCAAAGGACAGGAGAATGCTCCGTCGGAAAAGTGCTTGCACATCTATGTTTATTGCAGCATTATTCACAGTCATTAAGACATGGAATCAACCCAAATGTCCACAAACAGGTGAATGTATTGGAAAAATGTGGCACATATGCTCTATGGACTACTACTCCACCATAAAATACAACAAGACTGTTGCATTTGACAGAAAGTGGACAAATACAGAAGATTTACTGCTGAGTGAGGCAAGCCAGGCTATGAAAGAGGGATGCTGTGTGTCTCCACTTAACATATACCAACTATCTGCACTCTACGGTGGAAACTGCAAGATTAGAGGACACAGAAGCACTGAAAATGGTTTTGGACAGTGGAGACAGTGTGGAAAGAGGGTGGGAGAGGGGAGAGAGTATAAGGAAAGAAATTAAGGAGGGAAATAGGCGAGACATTTATGGGACACAGTAATGGATTATTATCTGTTGATGATCATGTGTTTTGTATCCTTAACTGTACTGGTGTGAAGTGTATTTCATGTAAGGTAAATTCAACTTAAAAGCTGAGTGATGTATAGTGATTAAATGTATACATTTTAAAAAATTAAAAATAAAAAAAATATATAAGCCACATACATGAAAGATGATCCAGAATGACTATATATAGTGAAACTGTTTTAGAAGTAGTCATTGCTATGATTTTTCATAAATTTAATCTTCAGTACGTCTGCCCCAGCCCAACAAGGTATATACACAACAGTTAAGTCCTGAACCTCAGTTCAATTCGTTTTATTTACTAAATGGGTTCATTATAAATAGCTTGACTTTTCAAAACCAAATATTAAATTGTGGCAGAAACTGTAAAAAGTACGCTCTTCTTTTCTGTTTGCATTTGCACAGTTAATCCCTGCACATGGAGACTGAAGAAAGAAATTCTTTTCTTCCTGTCCTGTTCCCCAGTCTTTCCTCCCAGAGGTGACCGCTGTTACCACCTACCCATCCAGAGGCATTCCACACATACACTAACATTTCTTACTGAAGAGAAAGAAATCAACTTAAACCTCACCACCAACTTTGTAAAAATGCCAGAACCTCCACGGATTAAATGTCAGTGTTGTTGTTCAAAGAGATTGACAGGTGATAACATTTTGACTACTAACAGTCTTCCAACAGTATAAATATTGACGTAACTTTTCTTCAGTGGTTTCTTTAATTTGAAAGTCTCTGTTCCACCTCTTTGCCTCTTCTCCTCTCCCATCTCCTCCTCCTCAACTCCCATAATGACAAACCTTTCTGACTGGCACACGGAGGAAGGCAGTGTCAGCTGGAAGAGCTCCACTTGTACAACTGAAATCCACTTAGGACGTCTTTAAACGTACACATTCGTGCAAGTTTACAAAATCAGGTATTTTCTCCAAACAATCACTACTTACATGGACTTTTCTTCCCTCTTTAAATCAAACCTATGCCCTCCAACAAACTCTTTCAGATTAACACTTCCTCCAAATACATACAGTCTCCAAAAACTCAATTTCCTTGAAAAATAGGCTTTCCAACTGTGCATTAGCCAGACTATTGTTGTTTTTCTTTTTTGTTTTGTTTTGTTTTTTGAGAGAGAGATTTTTACTATAGGGCATGTGCATGAGCCAGACAGACAGTAAGTGAGAAATCACCCCCACCCACCCCCTCGAGGGAAGATGGCCACGATGCAATCCCGTCTCCATTTTCCTCTTGAAATGTTGGGCACACACACACATGCACCCAGCCTGTTTTAAGCCGCCGGGTATAGGACTCGAACTGAGGTTGGCTACATGGGAGTCCAGCGACATAATCATTATGTCATCTACTTGTCCCTAGGAGGACTATTTTCCCCTTACTGTTTCTGACCCTTTGGACATTTTAAATCATTATATTTGTGTGCTATACATTTTAGTTGAGCAATAAATTAAGTTCATTATTTTGTTCTAAAAGGTAATTGGAAGGACTGAGTAACAAAAGCAAAATGTGGAACTATGACTGTCTGAACCGATGCTTCTCATTTTAAATATATGTAAGTGACTGTGTGCGTGTGTGTGTGTGTGTGTGTGTGTGTGTGTGTGTGTGTTTATTTTAAGACTATAGAAGAAAACCTGCTACCTTTTGCTGATGTTGAATTCTCTCTTCTTCGAGGAGCTGGGTGAGTTTTGCGTTGTCATCTAGAGCTTTCAGAAGCTGCTGGTCAGGGACAGAGCTCTGTAGCAGAAGGTGGCTTTGTCTCTTTAGCTTGTTTTGTTCAATAAACATCTGTAAAGATGAATTACAAAAATGTATATACTAATCATCCCATCCAGCTCTTCAACTGCAACTTGAACAAAAGGAAAGTACCTGCAGTTTTTATTTAAAAATGAAGAGCCGTTTCTGAATTGTATAACAGCTTTAGACAGAGTGATTGCTATGACTTTTTTTTTTCACATTATCTTCAATAACTTTACCCTGTCCGAAACAAGATATATGTAATAATTTCATTCTATACCTCAGTTTTTAGTATTTTTTTATTTCTTTAAAATACATGAATAGCACAGTTAACATTTACCAAGAACTTACCTTCTGCCAGGAGCGCTACTAAATATGTAGTATGTGATGTTTTAGTCCTCCCATCGAGCCTATGAGTTACGTGCTACCTACTATGAACAGGTAACACTTACTGAGCACCACAGGACGGATCTGACAGTATTCATTGTACACTCGTTATATCACCTCATCCTTCACACAGCACTGTTAGGTAAATACTGGGTGGTCGAAGAAGTCATGATACATTTTTTGCATAGAAAAACACAGAAAAAATACGTCCTGACTTCTCTGACCATCCAAAGGATTTCATGAGTAAAATATATAAATTACTTATTGCTTAATAACATGTTCAGTGGGACCAGCAGAGGGTGTAATGGTTACATCGCTGGACTCACATGTAGTCAATTGTGGTTCAAGTCTCAGACGTGGCAGCTTAAAACTCACCCTGGGCACGTGTATACATGTGCCCAAAAACCCCAAGAGGAGAATGGAGGAGAAGGGACTGTGGTGTGGCTATCCACCCTAGGGGGATGATTTCTCACTGTCTGTCTCTCTCTCTCTGTTTCTCTGGCAAGCACACATGCCCTATAGCAATCTCTCTCCAAAAAAATAAATAAAGGGCTGGTAGGTGACATGGTTAAGGACGCTAGACTCCCACATGGTCAACAGTGGTTTGAGTCCCAGACCTGGCAGCTTGCTCTCTGTCTCTCTGGTCAAAATTGAAAAAGAACGATACTAAATAAATAATTCTAAATAAATAAATAATAAAGTGCTCAGTAAATATTAGTATACTATTTCTCTTCCCCCTTTCCCTTCCTATTGTTATCATTGGGAAAAAACTAACTGGTTTTAAACAAAATGTTAGATCTAGTAAATACTAATGCAGAGGGGAGTAGCCAAGTGTAAAGCAGGCGGAGATGAATTTAGATCCTGGTCTTGCTACTTATGCATATCCTTGGGAAAGTTGCTTAACCTATTTTTCAAAAATAATTATTTATTTATTTAATTCTGTTTGTTATTATTATTTTTTAATTTGACCGGAGAGTGACAGAGAGAGAGAGAAAGGGAAAGTGAGAAAAGCAAGTAGCCAGTTCCGGGACTTGAACCCTGGCTGACCATGTGGGAATCCAGAGCCTTTAACCATCACGCCACCTGATAACCCCAGCTGCTTAACTTTTCTGAGCCTCAGTCACCTTACAATAGTTTGATCAATGGGATGCTCAAACTATTGGCAGAGACCGTGACAGTACTGAGTACCAGTGCAGTTCTTCATGCTGTCAGTAACAGAGGCACGGGTACTCTTGCTTTCCTTCCTCAAACTTCTACCTCCTCATTCTGGGACAGCGTGTCAGGGCCGTTTCTACCGAACACTAAGGTGTAAGGCCCTACCAGGTGAAAGTGAGGGTAAGAATTCATTTCTGTACTTTCACTGCAACCTTGCTTCTTCCACCCAGCTTTTCTGCTACTGCATGGCCTTCGAGCTTTCTTTGCACTGTCTTGTATTCTAACATCACTGTACGAACAGAAGATTTGTACATTTGTACATTTTCAGAAAACTGAAAATGTCCTGAAATAAGAGCCTGGCATCTGGGTCAAAATCAGCCCACTTTTTCTGTTTTGCAATGAAGGTATCTTTCATTTTCTCTACTCCCTCTTCCCCTTCCACTGTTTATTTGGTTACATTATTTATACAGAGGGCTCTGGCACACTTCAATTCTTTCTCCTAAATATTACGAGAACAGCATTTACTCACCTGTCATTAAATGCTCTGAATAAAATGAATCATAATTTTTTCAAATCAGATCTACTTGGATGAAACCTTTCGAAGAGTTCGTTGCTAACACTGCTACACTCAGGAACAGAAAGACTCTTGCACCAAACCATCATCTGGTTTTCAAATATTACTCCTGTAACAACATGCTAGGTCTCCCATCTGCACCTTGAATACCTCGACCTAGACGGTTTTATGTTTCCTCAGTTACTTTCTCTGAACTCACGGTTACACACCCAGACTCAAGTCTTACACAGGTTGGAAATCTCATCATGGATCAGCTCCACACCACGAGTTCAGCTAACTGGTGACCCATCCTTTCCCTGGAAACCAATAACTGCATGCCAACAAGGTAAGCCCAAACAAGAGAAGCCCAATGCTTTCTCTGGCATGAGAGGAAAATCATTACCCTGGGGAAAGGCTGACATAAAGGATGTAGGACATGGCAGTGCCCCACGACCAGTGGGACAATCAACTCACATAATGAGTGTGCCGTGCAGTGGCTGAAGAGAAATACTGATACCGTGCAATCTGAGATGGCATGTGAAGACGTAGCTCAAGGGTTTTTGAAATACAACCCATCCTACCCTCAAGCTGGACTTTCCATCGCAAATTACAGGTATCTCTAACTGCAATGCCTTGTTTTTATTACATAATTTGACTCTAAAATGCACTTGGTTTAGTTTTTATCATCGATCGTTTCACAGATAGTCAAAATGAAGCCCTACGAGGCTGAGACTTCACAGGCTAAGAGACGTCATAGTTCATATGCCCAGGAACTGACACGGTCACAATTTGAAGCCAGATCTTCTGACATCAAATTCAGTGAATTAGAGACTATTCCATAGCTGCCTCTCTAAGCCAGCTGAGTCTTAATTCAAACTGGTAAATTCCTATTCAATCTCAGATTTCATTTTTAAATGTCATTTGCATCATCTTAGAAAACAAAATTTAAAAATGAGTAAAAGCAGCTGGTTCAAGCAGCTGGTTCCCACACGGCTGACTGTGCAGTTCCAGTCCCAGACCCAGAGGTTGGAAAAGCACACTGGGCACATGTGTGTGTGCCCCGTGGAATCCCCTGAGAAATGGAGATGGTATTACGGCACAGGCATCCCCACTGGGGATGCCTTCTCACTTTCTCTCTCTCCGTCTCTCTCCAGCAAGCATGCACACCTCCTAGAGAATAATAACTTTTAGAAAGTCCCTAGGAGATACCCACCTCCTGTGCAAATGTCTCTGCTTTCTTTCGGAGGTCCTTCTCCAATTCCAGGTTTACTTGCATCTCTTCATACTCTTCTACTGCTAACATGGACACTGAAGAAGAGGAAAAGAAAACAGACCATCTGCCTCACAGGTGACCAGGAGTAGGAATGAGAAAGAATGCTGAAATTTGTTCTAGAAGTATGCGGGCACCTCATCCATTCATGACTTTTCCAATGATCCAATAGATAGTCTAATGTTGAAAGATCCAGTAACTTATTAGTCCATCATCAAAACGACATTTTAGAAGCATGTTTATTAGTGAATGGGAAAATATTCATGATCTATTTAAAAATAAATGAAATGAAAAAATGAGTGCAAAATGAAATGATCGTGTTCTAAAACCGATGGATAGAATGCACCAACAGGCATCTCACAGAATATAAACCTATGACAGGCCAATAAACTTATAAAAAGATGCTAATCTTCATTAGAAATCAAGGAAATGCAAAGTAAAAACATGTTTTTATACCCACCAAGGAGATAATGGGTAAAAATCTAAAAGCACAGCAATATTAAGTTTGGAAAGGATACAGAATGATGGGGGCAAAGGTATCACTAATAGGGGTGTAAACCGACAGATTTACTTCAAAGTAATTTGGCATCGTGCAGAGAAATTAAAGACGGAATCTTCCGTTTGGCACCTATCTTAGTGAAACCCATGGGTGCACCAAGAGACATGCAAAAATGTTCAGAATGGCCTGACTTGGAATATCAAAAACGGGAAATCACTCACATGTTCACCATCAGGATGCTGGATAAACAGATCTGGATACAGACATCTCATGGAATATTATATAGAAGTGAAAATAAAATACTAAAGCCTTTCAACATGGATGAATCTCATACGTACAAAACGTTACACACAGTTATAAATGACATGATTCCATTTGCATAAGGTTCAACAACATGCGAAATTAAATAATATGCTGTTTAGAGGTACATATCTATTTGGTGAAAGTATAAATAAGACAAAGAAAATAAAAATTCAAGGGAGGGGTACAAGTAGAGAGAGCTGTTCATGGCCTTATAAGGGGAGATTTCTTTTTTTTTTTTTTTTTGCTATAGGGCACGTGCGCTCGCCAGACAGACAGAGAGAGACAGAGAAGAGACAGAAAGTGAGAAATCAACCCCCAGGGGGGATGGCCACACCGCAATCCCTTCTCCTCCATTCTCCTCTCGGGATCTTGGGCACACACGCACACGCGCCCGGCGTGAGTTTTGAGCCACCAGGTCCGGGACGCAAACCACGGTCGACTACGTGGGAGTCCAGTGACATAGCCAGTACGCTAACTGCTGGTCCCAAGGGGAGATTTCTTTTACTGGTATTTTACTTATCTTCCATATACATTATAAACATATTTAACACACACACACAAACACACACACTGAGGCTATTTTTTTTTTGAGAGATTTTTGTTATTGTGTGTGCGCCTGCCAGAGAGACACAGAATGAGAAAGCGAGAAATCATCCTCCAAGGGAGATGGCCAAACAACCATTCCTTCTACTCTATTCTCCTCTCGGGATTTTGAGAATGCACGCACATGTGTTTGGTGTGAGTTTCAAGCCACTAGGTCTGGGACTCGAATCACGGTCGGACACATGGGAGCCCAGTGCCTTAACCACCATGCCACCTGCTGGCCTTGAGGCTATTTTTTAGATTGGAAGAATATACAATAACATTTCAATGGTGGGTGTTGTGGTTAAGGCGCTGGACTCCCACATGGTGGAGCAAGAATTGAATCCCTGATCTGTCAGCTTGCTTTCTGACTTTCTCTCTCTCTTTCTGTCTCTGTCTCTCTTTGGTGAGTGTGTGTACCATATAGCAAAGTTTTAAAAAATAATAATAATTAAATTTAAAATAAACAAAATAAAACTTCCATAGTGTGCCAGCAGGTAGCATGAAGGTTAAGGCAGCTGGAGCCCACATGGCCAGCATTGTGGTTTGAGTCCTGGACATAGCAACTTAGAAGTCACAGTGGGCACTTTAGGTGTGTGCCAAAAATCCTGAGAGGAGAACGGAGGAGAGGGGACTGAGGTGTAACCATCCCTCTTGGGGGGTGATTCCCCACCACCACTTTTCTCTCTGGCCCCTAAGAAAAACAAAACAAAATAAAATGTCAATTACTTATCTGGATTGTAAAGGTTGACTTTTTTTTTTATTTCCTACATGAATCTAAAATTTTCCCTCAAAATAATATATTACCTGAATACAAAGTAAAATGTGTTAAGTGTTCTTCATGTTTACAGAGAATCAAACTTAAATCCATCCAGACCCAAAGAGTCAGAAGTTCATACTAAAGAATTACTGCAGACAGAAACCTCCCAAGGGAAGGTCCTGTTGAATAAAAGCAACATGAATTCTTGGCTAGTTCTGCGGTTTAATGGCCTATCTTGCTAAATAATGACATAGGCAGGACAGAGAGAGAAAACCGATGGATAGAATGCACCAACAGGCATCTCACAGAATATAAACCTATGACAGGCCAATAAACTTATAAAAAGATGCTAATCTTCATTAGAAATCAAGGAAATGCAAAGTAAAAACATGTTTTTATACCCACCAAGGAGATAATGGGTAAAAATCTAAAAGCACAGCAATATTAAGTTTGGAAAGGATACAGAATGATGGGGGCAAAGGTATCACTAATAGGGGTGTAAACCGACAGATTTACTTCAAAGTAATTTGGCATCGTGCAGAGAAATTAAAGACGGAATCTTCCGTTTGGCACCTATCTTAGTGAAACCCATGGGTGCACCAAGAGACATGCAAAAATGTTCAGAATGGCCTGACTTGGAATATCAAAAACGGGAAATCACTCACATGTTCACCATCAGGATGCTGGATAAACAGATCTGGATACAGACATCTCATGGAATATTATATAGAAGTGAAAATAAAATACTAAAGCCTTTCAACATGGATGAATCTCATACGTACAAAACGTTACACACAGTTATAAATGACATGATTCCATTTGCATAAGGTTCAACAACATGCGAAATTAAATAATATGCTGTTTAGAGGTACATATCTATTTGGTGAAAGTATAAATAAGACAAAGAAAATAAAAATTCAAGGGAGGGGTACAAGTAGAGAGAGCTGTTCATGGCCTTATAAGGGGAGATTTCTTTTTTTTTTTTTTTTTTCTTTA